GGGGGGACTATGGGTGGGTGGGTGGGTATGGGTCTGGGGAGGGTATGTGGGGTGTGGAGGAGGGTATGGAGGGTTGTGGGAGGTGCATTTGTGGGGATGTCTGGGTTTGGGGTAGATTCATGGATTCATAGATGTTAGGGGCTGGAAGGAACCTCACAAGATCATCAGGACCAGCACCCCTTGCACTTGGGTAGGAAAGACTGCTGGGTTCAGGTGACCCCAGCAAGATGTGCATCAAGTTGGAGCTGATGCGGTACACATGGGGCTGTGCAGCATGAGTCCCTGCTGGGATTGCAGGGTTAGGGCCAGCAGCGATGGCAGCTGAAAGGCGTATCCACCACCTGGGCTGCCTAGAAAGGCAGTCCAGCTGCGGAGCCACCCCAGCCTCACTGTATGCTCAAGGGGCAGCAGGATGCTCCATGGTTGAATTGTGCCTGGGCCAGGTGGGTCCCAGGAACCCATCTTAGGCCAGACAAAGACCTGCCATGGGCCAGATCTGGCCTGTGGGCTGTATTTTGCCATTCCCTGATCTAACTCCACATGCAGCAATATGCAGAGGGATTCCTATGGATTTCCTTTTGCTAAAATTTCTCCCCCAAACAAAGGAATGGTTGGCATGGTTTCTCTGTTTCTGATGGAGTTTGCTGCACTCAGGTACTAGGGGTAAATAATCTCTGCCAAAGATCTTTGGAGTGTGACACTACTTGTGAAAGGCATTTTTTGGATTAGATCTCACTAAATTATTAAATGTTGTTGTTCTTGTTGTTATTAAATCAAGCAGCTACAAGTAGGCATCTGACAAATATGCAATACAGGCAGATCCTCAGTCAGAAGAACTTGCAATCCCTTGCAGATTGACTCAAAACCATACAGTGGAGATCATACCCTTTCCCTTCAGCCCACCCTCATCCAACATTTCACAACATGGAAAATAAATTAGCCTGTCAGTCTACTCAGTATATTTTTGGGACCAAAGCAAAACCTGTGACACATGAAGTGAATGTTTGCTAAATGGTGCTGCCTGCTTCCTTGACTATGAGGCAGTGAATTTCTTGTGTGTGAATATATTTGTCAGTCATGCATCCTAGTACAAGGGCTTTATCAGAGTCATAGGAGAAAGAGTGGTGGGAATCATTCACTAAAATATTTGTAATGCCTTATTGATTGGAAAGCAACATCTGTTTAAGATCAGAACATCCCTCTTCATATAGCATGCTTTCATCGCAGAGATGGAAATAGGTTATTTTTTAAAATAAGTAAAGCACAAGGTGGGGCAAGGTAGCACACCTTTGAAACTAAATAATTTCAGAGAAGCATGGGCTATTATAGGCCTATGAGCCATATCTGCCCCAGAGCTGTGCCATCCAACCTGCAGGACTCCTCAAGGATCTGAAAATTTGACAGTGGGGGAGCAGTGGCAGCATTAAATTCCTACTCCCATACTGCCAAATTTCTGGACCCACAGGAAACCCTGCAGGCTGAATGATGTAGCCCTGTGTCCAGGGTTGCACCAGCTCATGGCTGGACTGGGTGCACAGGGTCAGTTCAATGTACAGTGGGATCTGGAGATGGGGAGTGGGGTTGGTCTGCTAGATCACACTCATGGACTGACCCCACATGCAGACTGTGTGCAGGATCTGGCCTGTGGTGCCAGAAAGTTTGGCATTACTACCTTAAGCAAATAAGGCATCATTTAGATGAAAAGCAAAAGGGACATTGATTCCTTTGGTCATGACAGGAGTGAAATGGGGTTCATCTTCCCCCCACTGGAAGTGGTTTGGTTCCTATGGCTCACAGAACTAAGAAACCAAGTAGTAGATATACTGGCAGGTAGGGCGAGGATTCAGAAAGGCCTAGGTAAATTGGAGGATTGTACTAAATTGGAGGATTGGACCATGAGGTTCAATAAGAACAAGTGCAAAGTCCTGTACTTAGGACAGAACAATCCCATGCACTGATACAGGCCGGGGGCTGACTGGTTGGGCAGCAGCTCTACAGAAAAGGATTTGGGGGTTACAGTGGAGAATAAGCTGAATATGAGTCTGTGCCTTTGTTGCCAAGAAGGCTGGGCTGCATTGGTAGGTGTGTTGCCAACAGATCAAGAGAAGTGATTATTTCCATCTAGTCAGCACTGGTGAGGCCACATCTGGAGTACTGTGTTCAGTTTTGGGCCCCCCACTACAGAAAGGATGTGAATATATTGGAAAGAGTCCAGCCAAGGGCAACAAAAATGGTGAGGGACTGGGGGACATGATTTATGAGGACAGGCTGGGCTTATTTAGTTTAGAGAAGAGAAGACTGAAAGGGGATTTAATAGCAGCCTTCAACTAACTGAAGGGTGGTTTGAAAGAGGATGGAGCAAGACTGTTGTCAGTGGTGGCAGATGACAGAACGAGGAGGAGCAAGGTCTCAAATTGTAGCAACTGAAGTTTAAATTAGATATTAGGAAGGACTTTCTCACTGGGAGTTTAACAAAACACTGGAACAAGTCACCCAGAGAGGTTGTGGACTCTTCATCCTTGCAGGTTTTTAAGACCTGGATAGACAAAGCCTTGTCTTGGATCATCCAGTAGGGGATGGTCTTGTTTTGAACAAGAGGTCCCTTCCAGCCCTAATTTTCTATAAGCAGTAGCGTCCTTAGGTGAGGGCAAACCGGGTGACTCCCTGGGGCCCCACACTTTATACAAATAAAAATTAATTACACTTATTATTTGCATTATCAGTATTTTATTAAGATTGCATTGCAGTTTTATGGATACGGCAAAGTGAAATTGAAATTGAAAATGTCTGAGTTGCTTATAGGTCATCAAAATTAAGACTCTAAGGGGCCCCAGATGACTCTCTTGCCCAGGACTCCAACAACCCTAAGGCCACCACTGCTATGAGTCTTTAAAACCATCACTTAGGCTGAGTGATGAACTCAAGATCTGGGGCAAAAAGAAGCCCTGTTCCCTCCATATCAGCATCAGGACTTCCCAGTGCTCCTCTCATGTGTTTTGGCCAGACAACATCATTGGATTAGTCAGGGAATATTCTATTAAACGTCCTTAACTGGGGATAGAGAAAACAAAATAAAAAAAGTGTGCGCCATGTCAAACCAGTTTCCATAAGGGTGGAAAGAATCATGCCCATATTGTCTGAGGGACATATCCAAAGTTGGAAGAACTGGTTTCTGACTTCCCTTCTCATAACAAATGAGCAGGGAGGAGGACCTATACATAGAGGGTCCTGGGGGAATGATTTTTCAGTGCACATGCACACACATGCAAACACACAACTGCACCTGGTGTTTAAGAGACCTGTTATTCTTTTTATGCAATTAGGGGCACTTTGAGGATTGGCAAGTGAAAGACAAATGTGCTATAAAGGTGAAACACTTAGTGTTTGGGTTGCTGCCAGCTTCATCAGAGGAGAAATCCTTCACTGGTCAATTGAAGTGGTTGGATTGGAGTCCTGGAAAAGGTCTGTAACAGCAGTCAACAACAAGGCAAAAATGAGGCAATAAATATGAGTAAAAGAAAACACAGGCCCATGCATATTTTATGTAAGAAGTGGAATCTGTTTTAGAAATGTTCATATAATTAACACAATCAAGAACAGTGTTTGTGCCATTGTGTTGTTTGTAACATTGCAAAAATCTGTTCTACTTAAAAATAGAATTATTATGATGAGTTTTTGTCTTATACAGATACATCAACCATAGAAAATTTGGCACAATGTGTAGAAACACTTCTGAAGCTGCTGTTACAGACAACCAGACTGGCACATTTGCCAGGATGCATGAGAGAACAGCAAACGAGCAAAGTGAAATAGCAAAATTTAATGTTGGCCCTGACTATTCATAAGTATCTAAGATCAGTTGTTCAGCAGCTGAAGACAATAAAAATATCCTGAAAATATTTTAAGAAATATCTCGAGTAAAAGTAACTTCAGTAAAGGAAGGATAAAGAAATACTAAATTTCAAAGTATGTTCAACCCATTTATCAATATTAAGCTTCAAGAACAACTGTAACCAAGCAAATAGGAAGGGGAAAAACAAATCTTATCATCTTTTCAATTTCCAAGTCAAATACATGGAAAGAAATATAGAGCATGCTATCTTTGATGCGGTTTGAAATATAACTAAAAATTACTGTAGGCATTCACTATGTACTTTACCATTTCACTGTATCAGTTCGTAACAGTGAAACACATCAGGTTTCCAAAAAAAATATGCATAACTCTAACAGATTTTATTTTTTATATTTTCACCTGGGTCGATAACTGAGTACATACTAATGAATGGTGAAGTGTGAGGAGTGAAGAGAATGGGGATTTGATCCTTATCTCACTGAGGTCAATGAAAGAATTTCTATTGTTATGACTAATTACTTTTTCTGTGATAGTACTCAAAAGCCCAATTCCAAGTCAGAGTCCTGTTGTGCTAGGCTAGGTTCTGTACTCATAGAAAGTGCAGTACATGCTCCAAAGGGCTTACAATCCAATAATAACCTTTATGTCCTGGCATAGAAGTTTTATATTTGAACTGGCAGAGTCAAGAGGCCAGGTCATGTCATACTGGGAGCACGCCTCATAGCTTTGCGAAATAACTTGACAAGTGATTCACAAGCTGCAGAAAGAACTACATCCAAACCATTTTTTTTTATCAGGAAAAGTAATCACTGAGATCTGGGGGTGCTCAAGGGGAGAAAGTGAGGCAAAATTAGGTATGATCCTTGAGACTCCAAGAGAAAATGGAATATTTAATGGTAAAAAGAGAAAACGGGGAGAGGGAAGATCTATATATACTGAACTCCATGATATGATGCCATTATTATGTACTACCCCAGGTGTTTGTGTCTACCCCTGTATCTCTGTTTAGACTACAATTGTCACTTTGAGGCTAAGACCATCTTTTCATTAGATGCATGTACAGCATCTACGGCAATGGGGTCCCGGTCTCTGGTTGAGGTGATAAATAAATCACAGTAATAAAATAACAGCAATTCTAAAACAACCATAATAGTTGTTGGTCTATTTATCTGGTCTGCTTTGTTTCAAAAGAATACCCCACCCCTTAAAACCTGTTCCTGAAGCAATGAGGCAGTTTTCCTTTCAAATTTATACCAGCAACATCTGTTTCACTATCAGTAGAGCCACACTAACCCAGAAAAACCAAAATACTTATCAGTCAATATGGCTGATGGATTTTGCTTTTTTTCTACACAATATATCAGAATAACAATTGCTCAATATGGCAGGTAAGAGCCAATTTGTTTGATTCAAATGCCTTACATCTTTTTTATGATGGCCATGGCTTTATGTTTGTTTGGCTAGAGCAATGAACATACGGCATGAAAAATGCCAAAAGGAGACTCATGATGAAAGAACTGGCCTACAAAGAAAATACTGAAGAGAATATTTGCATTGGTGTTCTTTA